CTCTCTCTCTCTCACTCTCAGTCTCTCTTTGCATTTGGATGTGTTTTTTTCGTACTTATTATGAGTTAATGGATCGGAATACCTGACTGACAAGAAGCCCAGCCTGGAGGACCCGAAACCAGCGATGACCAGACCATGGACCACGGGAAAAGTTCAGGATCATCTCTGCGACGCCCAGCGAGGACTTCAGATGGACCGTGTGCGCGATGCTGTTCTCCAGCTCTCGCGCTAATCTGTGCCGTGGCTCCCATAGATGGACCATGCGGACAGAAAGACCATTTTGCAGAAACTGCAACGCACTTTGAAGGTCCGGTCCAGCATCCGACGTCACGACCAAGGTAGGAAGGAGCCTCAAGTCTCTGTCCCCAGCTGGCTTCGAGAAGGACCCAAGACCCTCCTCCAAAGCAGGAAACATGCACTTCAACGTCTGGTCGAGGCCCACCACTTGCTCATAGGAAGGACCACGGGTCTGCTTGGCAACTACGGGCTGGGCCGTTGTGGGAGCAGTGGCCTCTATGAGTTTCAAGCTGTCGAGGAACCGCAAGCTGCTGGCATCCAATCTCTTCTGCTCTGCAGCAGAGGGACCTTTATCAGAGTCAGGGGGACGGTACCCGCCATCTTGGAACCGCAGAGGAGGAGCCCATGCAGAAACCCCGGTGTCCGCATCCAGCACACAGTACAGCCAGCGCTTGCGTCCGCCAGCTCTTCCGCCGTCCAAGCCCACGTGGACGAAGTGAGCGTTGTTGAAGAGCCGTCGTGCGGAAAGGAGGTACCTGCTCCGCTCTTTCTTCCTCTGCAGCGTCTTTGTGAAGCGTCGGGCCGCCTCGGCCTGCATGCGGAGCCGTGTCCGCTGCGCCTCCGTTTGAGGGGCCTTGCTGCCCTTTCTTTTGTTGGCATTCCAGGCTTTGCCAAGAGCGGCCTCCATTCTCTTCTGACGGACCAGAGGGTCCCGCATGTCCGCCTCTGATTGGACAAAGGCATCCTTGTCTGCTGGCGCTTTGTGAAATTGAGAGAGATGGACCCCGATCTCCAACTCCCTAGAGACCCCATCTATCAGGTCCCACAGCAGCCATCTTAAGTCCTTCAAGGGCCAGAGTGCATGAAGGACCTCCTCCAGCCGCAGCTTTTGTCGCAACCTGAGAGGCACCTGCCTTTTGCAGTGCCGCATTCGCTCCTTGTACGCAGAGCGCTGGGTCACCTCCCCGAGGTCCACAAGGCAATGACGAACCCGCACCGATTGGGCGCTGTTGTTCACACGCAGCTTCACACGTTTCGGCAGCAGTTGCTCGAAGACCAGCTTCAGCCACTCCTTGCAATGCCGGTAATGCTTCGTGAGAAGGACCATGAGGAAGACCATGAACCTGGTAGAAACGAAAGCATCATGTCCTTGACGCGTGTCCCTGTCATCGGGAACGGCCGCGCTTTCGGGCCAAACTATGTCGTCACGCCCCTGAGTCTTATGGTCCGTGGAGCCCGCCACTTTGCGGGCATTGAAAGCCGGGATCCAGGATTTACGCAGCTTCTTGAGAAGAACCTTCTTCTTCACGTTTGTCAATGCCCGAAGCAGCCAGTAGCACTGGCACTCGTGCTGAGGAACCCACTGGAAGCACAGAAGTGTCAAAGGTCTCTCCTCGAAAGCACCACGCATCGTGTCCTGGGGATACAGGAGGCTGTGGGATCTACGATGGTCCTGCAACCATTCCAGGGAAAGACCATCATTGGCCGCCTGACTCTTCCTGACAACGAAGAGCCTCTCCAGCAACTCCTCCGACTTGCAGGACCGTTCATCCTCGAACAAATGATGCTTCAGCAAGCTGCTTGCCCACATCGGCGCAGCCCCATCAATCTCCAGATAGGCCATGCCATGCTCGTTAAAGTGGAGTCCCAGAAAGGCGTTTGGTAGACGGACCACCTCCCCAGTCGTCTTGTGCCGAAGCAAGCCTTTCTGGTCGTCTTCATAGAAGAGCAACTCAAGGTGCTCCAAGTGAGGGACTTCCTTGCACTTCTCGACGAGTGGGTTAGGAGGCTGGCGGGCCATGCTCACAGCAATGAGAGGCCTGCTAATGAGATTTCCTTACAATGCATCTATTACAAATTACTTTCATGAAAGAAACTGAAGAATTTGAATGAACTGAACGTAGTGCATTGGCCTACCACTCTCAAGTCGGTGCTGCTGTCTCATAGACTCAAGCTGTCACACAGCAGATAGGAATGAAGAACCCAAAGGAAGACCCAAAAAACAAATTGATTCTTTGGAGTTTTTCCAAGGGTTGAGGCATCGAATCAGGGTTGGGTTTGGGGCAACAATGCTTCAGCTTGCGGACTTTTTCTTGCTTGGGGGGGGGGGGGGGGGTGGTCTAGGGCTATTTTCATTCGACCTGCAAGAACCTCAACCAATTCAAAGGCCTCGTCTTTGTCCAGCACGAGCAGACGCATTCGTCAGGATTCCTGAGAGGGACCTGGGCCGCAGCTGCCTTAACTGGAAGCCTGACTTGCCTCATCAATGGTTTGGGGCCACTTACGAGTGACTGACAAACAATACAGTATGGAACTAGCCAGGAGCAGCAAACGAAGATCTGCGAACCGTGTGTCCACGAACCCGCGCACGAACCCCAAAGACAGCAAACAGGAAGCTTAGCACGAACCCTGCCACGAACCCAAACAGATGGTTCCACGAACCCAAGCCAGGGTTCTGCGAACCCTGGCTTTGAATTGAAAATCAAAAGGAACCCGGGCTTCGACGAACCCTCCGGCTACGAACTCGGCAGGGTTAGTGGCGAACCCCGCCCGGCCTGCATACGAACCCCGGAAGCCTCCATTGCGAACCCGCCACATGCTCGTTGCGAACTGCCCCCACCCATGAAGCGGGAAACCGCCAAGTAAACAAATCCATGGCAATGCCGTGGAGCAGCCCGAAGTGAGGCGCTTGATGGACTGACCACCTGGGCGGAGCAAAGTAAAAGTCGAGCAAGGCACGTTTCAAAGTTTCTCTTGTGTCAATGACTGACCATGACTTGTGCACGACAGAAAACGAAGCAGTTTCTTTTTAATTCTTCACCGCAGTCACGTGGGCAGCTCCAGGCACTTCCGGGCCTGGAGCTGCCCTGGGGAGAGGGGCCGCACTTAAAAGAGCAGCCAGAATCATCAGACCCACCGTCTGCAAGCTCATCGCATTCCCGACATTGTTTTGATGCACGTGCTGCAAAGATGGGCCGCTGAAGCCCATGAGAAGGGCCGCCTCACGCGGCAAGAGGAATCGTTTCAAACACGGAACCCATAGCTTACTATTGCGCCGGAAGGTCGGGAGGGACCCGTGTCGTGACGTCCAAAGACAGCAGTGCTCAGGATTCTGGCTCAGGTCGAAGACACAGCCGTCGTCGAGATCAGAAGGACCACCATGAAGCTGTCTCCACTTCGCTTCATAACCACTCAAGTGCCTGCCATTCACAGACATTGTCCCACGAGAGCTGCACTCAGAAAACCTATTTAAAAAAAGCTGCAGACCTTACCTGGACTCACACGCTTGCTGTGCCTCTGCTGGCTCTCTGTCAGCAGGTAGGACCAGTCATCTGATGGGCCAGAGCTCAGGGCTGCCAGCTGCCGCTGCTCCCTGATACTGTTCTCCATCGCGACCACGTCAGCAGGCGGCGTGTGCTGCCAGAAGATGGACGCAGGAAGGCTCCCCAAGCCTTTGCGTAGGGTGCAGCAGAGGATCTGATAGACCTCGCCTGGATTGAAGAGCACCTCTACCTTCTCCCGATGGTACACGATGGACCACACACGTGGGCGGGCCATTCCAATGTGACCCCAGTCAGCAGGGCTCCCTTTCAAGTGAAAAACCTGAAACTCCGGCAACGCTGCATCGAGCATCTCCATCCTGGGCCAGGGCTTCCAGCGAAGGCTCTAGTAGTACTTGTGACAACTTGGACCTATACACGGCAACCCACCTTGAATATTCAAGTCGAAACTCGGAAATCCCCATACATTCTCACGCAGGGCCCAGAAGAGCCGGTGCTGCTTGACCATTGCAAGCCAGCCAAAGAGGACGTTGGTTCTGGGATCATCGATTCCTGCAGGGGGCCGGCGGTGGATGTAACTATTGACTTGATATCAACATCTTATGATATCTGACTCAAAGTCATGCTCCCTGGCCTCGCTTGGCTCCCATGCGGGACCATGGCTGGCAGGGACTGCCACAGATGCTGCCATGGGTGCGTTTAGGAACACACCGGCAACCAGCATGGCGTTCGCAAGATGAGCCGTTACGTGCGTCGAAGCTGTCGCAGAAGTGACGGACCTTGCTTTCCGCATTACCTCCTGTCTTCTGCTTCTTGCTTTCTGGGAAGAAGTCATAAATGGAGGACCAAAGATGCCCCGTGTCCTGCAAAAGCAAAGCCCTTTGGCAATCGGGGTCCGGATCCATTGCATAACGACAGATGAGCCGCACGGGCTTCGGAAAGACCTTTGCCGATGCTTCACGAATCTGCTTGCAAGCGATTTCGGCAGTGCCCAAACCAGAGCAACACGTAAAGTACGTGGATCTGTGACCCAGGAAGGACCGCTGCCAGTCCGGAAAGTCCTTGCTCACGCTGCTCAATACCACCTCCGCCCAACCGAGGAAGGGCTTCATTGCCGGAGCGTCCTCCATCAACCACTACAAATCAAAGCCCGAAGGGCGGAGGTTCTCTTTGAGCACTTGGGCTCATCATCAAACATCACTGTGATTCATGCGCATGAGTCAATGTTTTCCTGTATTCCTGGAAGGTCCGTCTCTCGACTGAGGATCCAGCTCGATTGCTGAGGCAGAGGCTGGGTGGAAGAACCTGAGTTTCTTAAGCTGAACGACGTGACTCGCAAGCCATCAAAGCAAGCACTTTGACTTCCAAGAATGCAAACCTGCACGTAAGCTGTCTGGAACGATTGCTCTATCTACACTTATGCACCATACCCACCAAGCACCGGGCCGCCGCATCAGAGAACATGCGCCGTGACAGCGCATGAGTCCAAGAACAACCTCATTCAAAGAGGCTTTGTGACTCTTCAATGCAATTAATTAACTGGTATATATTTTGTAACAAACAGAATGAATCAAACAATTTCTGTCAAGTAAGAATGTTCATAGAGAGACACCGGTACTAAAACGAATGAATTGCAATGCGCCGCGACGGCGCATGGCCGGCATTGCACCGTGACGGCGCAAGACGCAAAGGGTAACCCACTCTATTTCGAAATCTCAATTTAGAACTTTGTCTGGTTAAAACAGGAATAGCAATCAGCAGGCTCACGGGGTAAAGGGATCTGCACAGTGCCACCACGGCATATTTAATGCCTTATACAAATGGCAAAACAATGTATTTACAAGACAAACATGTTTAGTCTTGGTTTTATTAGTAGAAAAACAAGAAGACGATCAACCTGTAAGGACCAAGCGCCGTGCCGGTGCATCTTGTTCAAAGCGCCGTGGCGGCGCATGTGCAGTAGAGGGACCTGAACGTTGAGGTCATGCATCCGTTGTATATGATGTATTCTAATTCAAAATATACTACCTGGATGAAAACGTCAAGGAGTGCCACTCTATCTATACCGTTTAATGATTTAAAAAACAGGAATAGCAATATTCAGCAGGCTCATGGGGCCCTCAGCGCCGTGACGCCGCATTCCCCCCGATGCTGTTTAAAATGGCAATACATTAGATAGCGTATTTTTTTAAAGGACATGTTTAATTTTCATTGTATTAGTAAAAAACAAGCATAAGACCACACAAGGACCAAGCGCCGTGCCGGCGCATCTTGTGCAAAGCGCCGTGGCGGCGCATGTCCGGTAGAGGGACCTGAACGTTGAGGTCATGCATCCGTTGCATACGATGCGCTATAATTCATACTCAAATGTTTAGTTTCATGGATCCTACTGAGAAGCCTTACAGCTGTGGAATACCCTACTGACACATGCCTTCACGAGGGCCGTGCTTCAGTCCAGGGCCATGCACCATCACGGCGCTTCTCCTGGCAATTATCTTTCAGGTTCGACCTACTAACTCGACTTTCTAATGGACTGTCCATGAGTCGAGAAGAACGTGCTTTGTCACGGACTGAAAGAAAGTGTCGCCTGCCTCGCATTGTGGGTGATGATACCACCGAGTGGGAGCGTCAGAAGTGCTGGAGGTGGTTGCCGCGGGTCGTGGCAACAACCTCCGTCACTTCTGGCGCCACCACTCCGTGGCATCATGACCTCACTCAGTGGCTGTCTGCTTCGTCGACTCCTGCTGCGTGAAGAACCTGGGCCGGGAGAATTCCAACACGACACCGTCTGCAACATTTTTTGCAGACTGTCCTTGACATGAGGAATGGAGTAATGACTAACTTGACTCTCCGACACACTGGGAAGTCTGCGGGAAGAGCCGCTGCAGCAGCCGGGCAGCCTGACAGACAGGGGAAAGGACGGACACTGCATCCAATCGTGGACGTGAATCGTTAAAAAACCCAAGCACTCAGGCGCAGCACTCCTTTTTTTCACTTGTTGAAGGAGAGGCCTGCGAGCTGTGCAGCTAAGAAGGGCCTCAGGCTCTTATGTTGCCACGTTGTTGTGGCTGGCCAGGAACCAAAACTCATTGACAGCCTGATCACTTCGGACGAACCCGGCGAGCTCGAAGACGATGCCGTTGGCTAAAACAGGGCTCGTTGTCTCAGAAGGACCTTCACCTGAGAATGCAAGAACAAACCAGCACTCCAGTCTCGACTCTCACAAGACCACTCTAACGAACATCTGTGTTTAAACGAGGCAGCACACTGAGCATCCTGCTGCCACGACCAGCCCTGCCACCAGGACCATCCTCCACTGTTCCAATCTCCGTCTTGAGGGACCTCCTCCTGAGGGGTCTGCTGCGCAACGGCCGTGGGGTCAGAGGTCACTGTCGGAGGGGCCGCCGTTGTCGGAGCAGCCGCAGTCGTGGCAGCTGCCGCAGCCTCAGTTGATGGAGCCTCAGTCTGGGGCGGTTGTGGTGGAGGGGCCTTTACCTCAACGTGGCAAGGGCCCGTGGCTGGTGCTGGTGCTGTGGCTGGCTCAAGGGAAGGGCCCTGTGTCGATGGTGCTGTGGCTTCCGCAGTGGAAGGGCCGACCTGTGTCTCCGCGACCAAAAACGGCTCAGTTTGGGGCTGCAGCAACTGGCCCCGGCGATGGGCCGCCTTCTGCCGCATGTCAGCCAGGTCTGCAACGAAGCCTGCCTGGGTCTGGGCCTGGGGCTGGGGCTGGGCCTGGGGCTGGGCCTGGGTCTGGGGACGGGCCTTGGGCTGGGGATGGGCCTGGGCCTGGGCCTGGGCCTGGGCCTGGGCGTCAGCCTGGGCCTTCATGGCTGGGGTGGGCAAAGAAGGGCCGTCGGGCATCATGGACGCTGGGATCCCTTGAAGTACCGTGGCTCCGCAAGCAGAAGAACCTGGGGCAGGGACAGTGGTGGGGACAGACGAGCCTGGGCCAGGGTCTGCGGTGGGGACAGAAGAAGAAGCACCTGCGCCAACGTCTGGTTGGTGGAGGGGCCGGCTCGGGGGGAGGTGGTGGCACATAGGCCCAACCGGCACTCTGCATCTTGTCTTTGGATGCACCACCGTCTTTGGAGGAACCGGGCTTGTCACCGTCTTTGGAGGAGCCGGGCCTTTTCTGCTTGTCCCACCATTTAGGACGGGCCTCCTCCTCCGGGTCCTCCTCCCACCACTTCAACACGTCTTCTTCTGAGTTGCAAGCAAAACTTTACATGGACCATGGAGGTAAGTAAAGAAATCTGCTGCATTGCCAATGGAATTGCAGCTGAGATGCGAAGGGCCTCCAAGCTTTTCCTGCAATGGACCGTCACGACGTTCTCGGGGTACTTCCATATTCTCATGTTTTCGTGCCGGCACTCTGCCTTCCCGGACTTTGCCAAGATCTGACCTAAGTTGAAGGGCCAGGCACTGACTGAGTCACAGGCTGCGATGTTTTTGGGATCGTCTTAGAAGGTATCATTGCTTGTCAAGAAACGGACCATCCTGTTCACGAAGGACCGACCCGTGGAGTGACCCTTGTCAGAGTACTCCAAGAGGTTGTACAGATCCTTCGTAGATTCACAATTGACAATCGTCCAAACTGATTAAATGCCATGTCGCACTGACACCTCGGAAGCCATGAAAATTATAAATCCTGCAGACAGGACACGACCATGGCCTCGAAGTCGCAGTTTAACTTCAGAAGGGCCCAGTACACCTCCGGATACTTCTGCCGAATGCATAGACGGGCCTCGGTTCATGTCTGAGGAAGGGCCTGTGCAGAATCAAGCACAAACAGTATTTTAGAGCACTAACAGTACCACTACCACTACCACTACCACTACTACCACTACCACTACCACTACCACTACCACTACCCCTAGCACAGTACCACTACACCACTACCACTACTGCTACTACTACTACTACTACTACTACTACTACTACTACTACTACTACTACTACTACTACTACTACTACTACTACTACTACTACTACTACTACTACTACTACTACTACTACTACTACTACTACTACTACTACTACTACTACTACTACTACTACTACTACTACTACTACTACTACTACTACTACTACTACTACTACTACTACTACTACTACACTACTACTACTACTACTACTACTACTACTACTACTACTACTACTACTACTACTACTACTACTACTACTACTACTACTACTACTACTCCTACTGCTACACTACCACTACCACTACCACTTCGCTTCTGCAACCGAAGGGCCGCTTCCTCCGCTTCCGTGAGATGAGCCCGACGTTCTGCAGGGACGGAGAGGTGCACAAACAGGAGTGATGAATGTGCCGTGACGGCAAAACAAAATGCCTGCCCTGCCTTTGGCACCAGGCTCGTCCGGGGGCCAGTTCACAAAGGCGTTCCCAGCAGGAGGAGCCGTAGTGGTGCTGGCAGCCTTAGTATAGTTCGAACAGGACCGGAGCACCGGAACAGAAACCGAACAGTGACAGCAAACCACGGCCACGCAATCAAGTGGCTCCGGTCGCTTCTGTAGGAGGGGCCGCTGGAGTCACTGGAGGGGCCGTCGCCGTGTCTGGGTTGTCTCCGAAACTTGTGATCTCCACCAAAGTAGACTGAGGGACCGCCATTGAAGCAAAGGCAGTGTCGCGAGGACCAGTAGTGACAAGTCATGCACTGATGGACAATGGACCCACCAAATCCTTGAATATAATATCCTACACGAATGTTCCACGCAAGCTCCTGCCCTCGGAAAATGCTGCAGATTCACAAAAGTCCGTGCTCAGCACTTGAACTTGACACTTGGAAACTCTGTCAGACCTACGACTGCAAACGCCCACGAGAGGAACCTGTAGCTACTGACTCAAGCACTGAGAGAGCCTCCGTGGAAGCAGCTGTAGAAAGCGGGGCCATCGGCTGGAGGGACCTGCGGGAAGGACTCACGAGTCAAGTTAGTTAGGTCGCATGAATCCTGCTGGACTTGTCTGGCATGTCGCATTCACTCACTGGGAAGCTTAGCCTTGCACCCGGAAGAGCCGCCCAAATCGCCATCCTCGCGGGGCCAGGTAGTAGTTTGAGATCCCACAAGACAAACCAATGACCAAGAACAAGAGTGACGTTTGGAGAGG